TTAGAGGAACTCATCATAGATTTATTGCATCAAAATAATTGTTTTTTCAATAATATCTCAAAACCAAAACCAAAACCAAAAAAAACAAAACTTGATCGAGACCAATACTATCGATACCAAAATCATATCAAAACCAATACCAAGACTATCGAAACTATATCAAAACCAATACCAAAACCATCAAAGCTATATCAAAACCAATACCAAGACCGTCAAAACTATATCAAAACCAATACTTTGAAATCAAAACTATATCGAAACCAATACTCCAAAACCAAGAGTTTTGGCTTTGGTACATGCCTAATTAAATACACATTCGATGGGAATTGGTGGTGGATGTGTTATTATTTATTCAAAATTATTTCAAACATTATATATTCAATCACAAAATTCTTTTTTTTTTCATTTAATAGAAGACAAAGAAAAGCTTATAGTATTATTCAACGTGAAACAGCTCCATTAGCTTCTAATTATACAATACTCCAAGGAAAAGAAAATATAACGTTCATTGGTATAATATCAGATGGTTTTTTATGAAACACGAACTAAAAGGAAGTGTTGAAGTATAGGGGTAGAAATTTGGACCCCCCAGATCGTTACAGACAGGGTCAAAGGTCAAGAGTCATCATAAAACGTCACAGACCGTGAACGATAATTTTGAGAGTGGTACTAACAGTTAGATCGTGTTTCACATTTTAATCCCGTAGGGATTGCGCTAACAGCTTTTTTAAATAAAAATGAATTCAATAGGTCCATTATCAATTGGAATACCGGGAGAATTACTTGCATATGATAAAGCATATAAAGAATTTGGTGGTGGAGTTTCTTGGTCAACACTTTTTCTCCAACAATTCGTTTATGTGAAAAAGGATTTCCAGTTAGTCATGCTCTAGCTTTTGCTATTCAGCGAAAAAAACATCTTATTATCAATGATACACAACTTAGGTATATTTTTATTCAATGATTAATTTATCTCTATAATTTGAATATTATTTAGAGAAATATTTGTGAAAAATCATTTAACTAATGAACTTTATAAAGAAGGAGATATTATGAAAAGAACCAAATTAGCTCAAACTTTACGTCAAATAGCTAAAGAAGGTGTTCAAACATTTTATAATGGTGATCTTGCAAAGAAAATTATCAATGAAATTCAAAAACGAGGTTATTCATCATCTTTATCTACTTTTTTTGTTTTTTTTTTTTACAAAACTTAAATCTTTAAGGCGGAATATTAACGTTGGAAGATCTTCGTGAATATGATATAGATTTCCATGAAGCTATATCAATTGATTTAAATAATTCATTTAAAGCTTTTACAAGCTTAGCTCCATCAAGTGGTCCTATTCTTGCTTTTATACTTAATATCATTTCAGGTTTTCTTCAATTATTATTTTTCTTGAGAAAATCAATTCTTTGTCTTTTTCGTCTAGGTTATAATTTTCATTCAAATGATTTGAATAATATTGAAAAAACAGGACTTTTTTATCATCGATTAATTGAAACATTTAAATTTGCTTTTGCTAAAAAGTTACAATTAGGAGATCCAATTAGTATAAATCTAACACAAGTTAATTAAATATTTATTTATTTTTCTTAAAAAGAACAGTTTCTTATTTTAGTTAATGATTAATTTAACATCAAAAGAATATGCTCAATCTATTCGTCAAAAAATCAAGTTTAGTTTTTATATTCAATTGAATTAGGAAAAAAATTCGTTTGGTTTTTCTAGTGATGAAAAAACCTTTTCCGAAGAATATTATGGAGATAATATGAAAAAAGTTCTATCTGGTGGAGGAACTGCTCATATATCAATTGTTGATCAATACGGAGATGCTGTTGGTATAACATCAACAATTAATTCATAGTTTGTATTGATCTCAAATTTAATCAAATTTCTATTTTAATTAAATGATTTAGTTTTGGTTCAACGATCGTTGGTGAAGAAACAGGAATTATATATAATAATCAATTAGATGATTTTTCAAGAGATCAATCAATAAATTCTAATGAATCTATTAGAAATTCAATTTCACCTGGAAAACGTCCTATTTCTTCAAAAGCTCCCCTTATAATTATTGATAATAAAGAAAATATTCGACAAGTGTTAGGAGCTGCTGGTGGATCTAAAATTGTAACCAGTATTGCACAAGTTTGTTTACTTAATCTTTTATTTGAAAAAAATATCAAAGAATCAATTGATTATCCAAGAATTCATCATCATTTACATCCAAATGAAATTATTTTTGAACAACCATTTAATCGAGTAAGTTTTTCTATTCAAAATTTGTTGAAATAATTGTTTTTTAAAGAATATTTTAAACGAACTCAAACGACGTGGACATAATGTTACATGTATGTCTTATGGAAGTACCGTTGTTCAAGGGATTGAATGGCGGCCAGGTGATCATCAATATTGGGCGAATTCTGATATACGCAAAGGTGGAAGTCCTTATGGATATTAATTTTCACAGAATCCTTTCTTTTATTATTCACAGTTACATAAAATCTTTCTCGAAATCAATCTTTTTTAACTTCATCGCCCTCAAGATACATATGTACATTATTCAAAATGCTTTTAGAGTGTGATAGTCTTTAAAGCAATCCGTAAGACACAATCCTACATCACATTCAATACAATCATACGAAGTGTCTCTTTTCGACTTAAATCTCCTCACACTCTAAAAAGATAGATATTTTATCGAACCCCAGAAAAGGTTTCATATTTTTCTACGAAACCTTTGCCTGCTGTATGAAACTTTAAAAAAAATTTCTTAGATTTTTTAATTCTTTTTTTGAGACTTTGGACGCCTTTGGACGCTTTTAGACATCTCTGGTTATTCAAAGTAATTGAACATCTAGAATCACATGAACAAGTGAGATGATAATAGATAATCCTTCCAAGGATTCATCATATGCGCTTTCTCTTTCGATTAAATTACTTAGGGCAATCCAAAAGTAGTGAGCCTGATACCTTATTCTCGTATAGAAGGCTTGGAGAAATTTTCTTTGTTTTTAACAGATAGAGCGTCTTTCACTCTATTTTTCTATGCTATTTGATCACTATTCAACTAATATCATAATAGTAAAATTTCGATAAGATCCGTTTCTTTCGCAGATGTGCTGGTACCATGAATGATTGTAAGTATTTTTTAAATAACGTTTGATAACAATAAGATAGAGAACTGCGGTTTTCACCGTTGGAAAGAAAAGATGAAGATGCATCGAACTATATATTACTGATTTTTCTAATACGATTTCTGAAGATTTTTTTTATTCAATTTTCTAACCATTATTCTGGTATCGTATTCCTACTTCCATGATACGACTATTTCAGGAGTTTCCGACCGTAACCGATCGTACATACTGTCATTCATCTGAGCAATTGTGCTTGAAGAAATGTTGTAAAAACATCTATGATTGAGGTAACCTATTGATGACATCGAATAAACGTTGAAAATTATTATTTTTTTGCATATGTAATGAAACTAACAATGTTATTATGGACTTAATACTAAGATAAAGAAAAATTCTTTTTTTTCTTACAACATGTTGATATTTGTTCGTATACATCAGATAATCGAATATTTATATAAATCGTCCTTTACAAAATCATCATGACTATTTTGTTAATTTAGAATGCATTTTTTAAATATAAAGTTGCACAATAAATTTTGAAAAATCAGAAACCAGATTACAATTTTTTCGACATTTTTAAATATTACAAAGTTGTGAGAGTGTTCCAACAGTACTTGTAAAGCAAATCACAAAACCGAAATTATCCTTCAGATATTGTGAAGATTCAACTAGCAAATGATGTTGAAAATTAATAGAAATGGAAAATAGAAATGCTTCCAGTTGTGTATGGTAATTGTTATGGTTATAGTTCTTTTGCTTTCTGCCGCTGATAACTGAATAAGTATCAGTGGTAAATGATATAGTGTAGTATATATCTTCCGTACATATTACCAAAAAAGGAAAGAAAGGAGAAATAGAAGGAAGAAATCGTATATACTATAATAGGAAGCAGAGCTACACGTGGTAATTACTTTGATTTAGATATATTTGGAAGATAGCGAAATTATCATCACCATACTTAGTTTTCTTTTTCACGTTAATGGATAAATAAGTGTCAATGAAGGGATACGTATATCCTATACACTAGAAGAAAAAAAAAGAAAAGTAAACTGAATGACCCATTATAAATTAGACTAAAGTAAACTGATATATGACATTAAGAAATACTATTTCTGTTTCTGTATAAACGTATTATTATCAGAAACTAGATTTACCCATAGGAAGTTATTTTATTCATCGTCTTATTTTGTTTTTCATTGGTTTTGTTTTTATCACTTTTACATAAATACGAATTCGGGTAAAGTTAAACGGCTCACACGCGTGCTAGAATACTTAATTACATAAAATCATACAATAATGAAAATTACCGTAATGTTGAAAGGTTTTCTGTTCGTTGTATCTATAATTTTAATTATATTTGTCTTGTCTCACCAATGTTACGCCTGAGCTGTCCACCTGGCCCGCAACCAGTTAATATGTGTGGATGTTGTAATCGCGATGGAAGAAAAAAATGAAACTTGCCATACAGATGATGCCAATCCTAAGTTAATGGTTCCTCGATTTGGTGTTTGTATACCACAAGCAGATCTTAGTTTTTTCTCATCATATTATTTGTGTAAACGTCGACAAAATTATGAAGGCCAAAATTACTGTTTAGTCATAAAGCTAATAATCATAATTACCTATACCCCTGGAAAAAATAAGTTTTATGCTGTATTTTGAGGATATTACTATCAAAACAAGATATTTTTTAAAAAGTAACAACATATTCTGAAAGCCCGTCTAATTTTACACTACCCTATATATTTATATTTTAGTTTCTATTTATATGTTATCAAAAAAATTGAACGCAATGAAGACAACTTCATGTTAAGATTTCGATATACCTTGTCTTATCACTGGCATCAAAATTTGTTTTTTAAATTTTTCGTCACTATAGAATTATCTTTTTGAAAAGGTAATTATAGGTTTTGATAGAGCTTAAAATTCTCTATTGTCCTGTATACTTACTAATTTCCTTGCATTCATTTTTTGAGCAAAAAATTTGAGTACAATGAACATGTTCGCGATC